CACCATTATCAGCATTGCACAAAAAAAAATTTTTTTTTTTTATTTTATTCGATTTTTGTATTATTATTTGGTAAATGTGGAATTTAAATTGATACGTTAGATATGAAATGAATAAATATTGAATCTCACATGCGTACAATATTTTTTTTATGAATTCAACAAAATTCTCGATTCTGTAAAATGTAATCTAATCTAATCTAATCGTTTTCTATTTTGTTTAATTGAATAATATATGAAATGTGATTTGTTTAAATAATTCTTGATGATGATGATGATGATGATTACAAACTGATGGTAATTTGTAACAATTCTCATTTGATCCATAACTGGATTCTTTGTTCTTCTTTTGTTGTTGTTGTTGTTGTATACAACCATACAAAAGTGCAAATTGTATGTTTTTCAAAACTTTTAATACCAAAATCCTTCTTATTTGATTCTTATCTTTGTAGTTGATGATTGCATTGCATTTGACAATGTTTAGACATAATGGAACAATGTTCTCAGTGTTTAATAAGTTTCCTAGAAAATTTTTCATAGAAAATTCATCTTAAACTTGCTGGAATGTGTGATAGTTTTCTTTTCTTTAAACTTTTCTTTCATCATTATTAGTTAGTATATATTTATATAAATTACCTTTGTTTGTTTGTATTTTATCAATTTTACTTGGAATTTTTGTTTTTGTTTTTGAAACCAAATGTGATGTTTGGCTATTTGGCCTTTTTTTTGTTCAAATTACTGTTAATTAAGTTTTGTATTCTATTGTCTGTCAATACCGTATTCTGGATTTCGATTCGATGCGATGATGATGAAATTGTTGTTGATTAGTTAGAGGTTTTCCAGAATCCCGAAGCAATAACAGAAAGGGGGTTGAAGAGAGGAGGTGAAGGGGACAACTAAAAAACAAAACAATCGTTGATGATTGTCAACTACAGAAATCTAATTCTCAGAGAATTTATTCAGCTTTTCCAATGAATATAGTCAGAGAAAAAAAAATACGAAAAGTGAATTAAAAAAAACAGGAGAGTTGAATTGAATCCCGATTGTAACTATGCTGTATGCTGTATAATAATAATAATAAATCGTACTTTGATTTAATCCCGAAATATATCTAGAATCTAGATCGAATAAGAGAAAATGAAAACCGAGTGGTGGTGTTTGGGGAAGGGAACGATACGGTAGATGAATGAAAAATGAAAGAAAATTCTGTTGATTGACAAAAAGAAAACAAAATTCTCTATTTTTGTTTGTTGAATCGTTCATCAATTTGTCCCTCAAAATTCGACAGAATAGAATGTCAATAATGTTCTCTTTCTTTTTTTTTAAACCAGTTGCCAGAAAAACAAGATTGATTCGGATCGAATTGAATTTGATTTTTCCGACGAAAACTTAATCTTGAATTGACTTTTTTTTTCTTTTCCATTCTCTTTCACTCACTGTGTTTGTACTGTGTATGTGTGTGTATGATATGAGAAAAAAGGGAGAAAAAAAATCTCTAGACTTTCGGAACCTTATTCTTGATTATATTCTTATTTTTCTAACTTTGATGATGATGGTGGTGGTGGTGGTTTAAAACCCACATTTGCATTGATTCTATTCATTGCTTTTATAATTTTTTTCCATAAATATTGCCAAAGAAGATTAGATGATTTGATGGAGAATATTCTTGGATTTATCATCATCATCATCATCATCATTCTTTTATATTCGGTTCATTTGTCATCATTGTCAATGATAAAAAGAATAACAACAACAACAAAATGTTAGTCAAGAGAGAAAATATTATTCTTGTCAACAAAATAAAAATTTTTTTTTATATTCTGGTTGTTGTATCCAATTTTTTTTTTGCTATAAAAAAAAATTTTCCATTTTATTGAATGAAATTTTGTTGTTGTTCAATTCCATTTGTTTCTTTTCTCCCGTTTTTTTTCCGGGTCGATGATGTTCAAAAAAAAAATTCGAATGATAAAAATCTTTATAATTTTTGTTTGATTTCTATCTATCTACCGTGATGTTTTTGTGTGAGAGAGTTTTGAATTTAAATGTGAGTAGCAGAAAAAGAAAACATGCATTTGTTCATTACAATCATTTTTTTATTTGTGAACTAAATGTGTTCATCATATGTTTTTTTTTCCAATTTTTTGTTGTTGTTGTTGTTGTTGTTGTTGCATCAATTCTGATTCTTCACTGCATTATAGTAAGTACATTTCATTCATTTCATTTGATTTCTATATACAGTAATACCCCGCTTAACACGGGGGTTACGTTCCAAAAATTCTGAGCGTTAAGCGAAACAGCGCTAAGCGGGGCTATCTTTACATAATGCATTTTTACCCTTCATATACAATGTAACAATGTAATGCAATGTAGGGTAATTGTACAGCGTTATATCGAATCAGCGCTAAACGGGGCAGCGTTAAGCGGGGTATTGCTGTATATGACATGTAATGATGATACATGTTTAGAATGTTTGAATAACATTTTTTTTCTTCTCTTTCCATCTTTCTATTTTTTTTTCAATCGATTCGATTACTTTTTTTTTATTTTCGTATCTCATGAATTATATATATATATATAAGATTTTCTGAATACCAAGTCTGGCTGCGCAATCCAAACCTAATACTCAGGAAACCTGGAGGGGAATCTGTGTTGAGCAAATTGTTAAAGCGGAACTTTGTAGCATTGGCTAGCGATGGAAGTTCGTTAATTTAGAGAATTTTATATGACCAATCAAAAGATAAACAAATTAAAACAATTTAAGATCAAAAGAAAAGACTTTTATTCAAACTTTCAAAATAAAATAAAAATATTGTGATGAATGTTGATGTTTTTGTGTATTGATGTGTGTGTGTGTCCGTATTATTGTGTAACGATGAGTCATTCGTCGTTCCAATTTATACCAATCGTCCAACCAGAAGAGGAGAAAAGAAAAGAAAAGAAAATTAATTTAGCAAAATAATTCCAAAACTGATTCGACGCAATATAATCTGGCCTTGAGTGATGAAGAGAAAGAACGATTCTGGTTATTCACCTTCATCACGAGTTGTTTAGAATTTCAAGGCTAAAGCTTCTTTTTCAAAATTTTGAAACGAACCAAAACTTAATGCGTAGTAAAAATATAAAATGTTCTGAACTGGTATGGCAACGGTGATGTACATTACATCCCGCCACCTTATGCTGGTGAAATAGGTGTGTTTGGTGTAGTATGGAATTTGTTGTGTTTTAATTGATGTGTATAAATAATAACTGATAAAACTTTCTGTTTATAATAATTTTTGTTTTGAAATTTATTGTGTAGATTAGATTCTGAACTGATTATTGATATTATGATTATGTAATGAATTATTTTTGTTCTGAATAAAATGAATGATTATGAATAAATTGTTTTGTGTATTGTTTATGTTTGAATAAATGTTCAATAAAATATTCTTACTTGGAGTTTCCATGTTTTCTTGGAAAGGAACAATGGGATTTTGTGTCAAAGATTGTGGTTGTGGACCAATTTCTGTGTTCAATTCGATAATAGGCGATGGTGATTGATTAAAAAGTTGATTTTCAATATTATTATTTTCAAATTTATCAATCAATCCTTTGATTTCTTTTTTCATTTTCTTGATTATTTGGTAAACAATAATAATCATTATAACTATTATTGTATTGAAAACGATTTCCGATACTTGAGAAACAATGATTTCTTTCGAAATTATTTCATTATTATTATCATAGGGAAGATTATCATCATCATTAATTTTTCCACCATCATCTTTTTCATCATTATCCTTTACGATTTTCTTCAAGTCATCCGACAATTCTCTGAAATCATATCTAAATTGATAGATAAAATCATTTCTAAAGTTCTCAAATATTTTGATAAATTCATTGTAATTTTCAATTCTGTCATCATAATTTAATCGATCATCATCATTAATATTTTGACCACCATCACCTTTATTTCGATCATCATCTTCATGTTTATTTCGATCATCAACATCAGGATTATCTTGACCATCATCTTCATATTTATTTTGATCATCATTATCATGTTTATTTTGTCCATCATCATCGTATTTATTTTGTCCATCATCATCATTGAATATTTGTTCAATTAAAATTTCCGATGAGGAAATAAATTGACAGATTGTTTTCCCATTATATCGATCACAATTATGGCATCGAAAGAAATATTCAATCCAACGATTGATATCAAAATTTTCATGGATCAATTTACCGATATTATTAATTATTGAATCGAAATATAATTCAACTCTTTCCTTGATTTTTCCATCGTCAAAATTTTCATTTTGTTTTACCAAATCATCAAAAATTATTCTTGCCGTATTTCGTATTTTGGTACGTTCATAAACGGTTGGATAATGATCATATACTTCCCCATAAATACCAGAAATGGTGTAGATTAAATTGATTTTTCCCATCTCGCGAAAATCAACATGATGAATGCAAATCTTTTCCAATTTTCCAATTATTTCTTCATCGAATTTATTCGTTAGAAACCAGTCATCAAAATAATTGATAAACTGGGAATCAAAATCAGTTGTTTTTTTGAAAATGACTTTAAATTGAGTCGATGATGATGTTGATGATGATATTTGAATTGGAAACGATGAAAATAAATGAAACCACAATATCAACATAAAAAAAACAATACAAATCATTTGTTTTTCCATATTCAATAGATTTTCGTCAGGAAAAACATCAAAAAGATAATTTGTTGTTGAATTCCAATAAATCAAACAAAAATACGTTGTAGAAATTCAACAAAACAAAACAAATAGAATGTTGAGTGAAAGAAGAAAAGGAAATAGTTCAAAGTGAAACAAAACTTTTGTTTTACAAATGCACGTGAATGTGTATGGTTTACTCTTATTGTGTTTAATTTTTCGGGTATCATTCATATAGTATATTATGTTTTTAAGAGATTTCGATTTGAATTTCTTTTGAATTTGTGTTTATGTTTACATTTTCATGTTTATTTCAATTTATTCTTATGTTCGACTTGATTGAATAGCTGCTAATCGATATTGTTCTTGAATAATTTTTCGATAATTTTCTGTTTTGTTGTGTTGACAAAAGATGAGTATTACTGTTATTGATAATAATATGATTAATATTATTGTGATTATGTAAATATAATATGATTGTATGTATGAATAAATAATCTTGTTAATAAGTGTGTCTTCTTTTTCAATCATTGTAGATAAATCATGCAAATTAATCGTTGAATTAAAAGAATTGAATGCTTGAAAGTTCAAAATCTCATTTATATCATCATGAATGACATGATGTAAATCAATTTTCATCTTCGTGAAATATACGGTTTGCCGATTAATTGTTAAATTTTGTCCACGATTAATTCTGTAAATTTGATTTTTACAGGGATACGTCATTCCTTGAACAGTGATGTTCTGATTGTAACAATAAAAATAAACAAAATCGTTATCACTTTTTACTTGAACAATCTCTTCTGGTGTTATCAAATCTTTCGCTTTACATTCAACAGCTTTCCATTTCGCTTCAACAGAATTCGTATCATTTTTACAATTAACTGAATGAAAAATAAATGGTGCTTGATGATCATTGATTGGTTCAAATATTATGTTTCTTGCACATTTAGTTCTTTTATTAATTATTGCATATTTTGATCCTGTGTATTTGGATATACAAAAATTTGATTTATTCAAGTGATCATTAACAAGAAGATAAAATGGATCCGCACGAATTATTTCATATTCTTTATCTATTTTAACTGCATTAATATACAATCTTAAAATGCTTTCATAAGGAGATTGATGTGGTCGAAATTGACATTCTTCTAAAAACCAATTGTCTGATGGACAATCAACACATATTGAAATATTTTCAAATAATTGAAAAATGGCTTTTGAAATTGGTTTATCTGATGACATAATAAAAACTTCATTAATCAACATTTCGATTTGTAAGAATTTTGCATAAAACATCGATGAAATCTCTCTATTAGAAGAAATATGCTTCAATCTATCTATTTCTTGTTGCATTAAAATCAATTGATCAACCATTTTCTGATGTATGTTATGATCCAATTTCTTAAGTTCATTTTCAGTTAATGATTGTTCATTTATACCAGATTGACTTTTAATATATGCAGCATATCCAATGGTGGCAACCATAACAATTACGGTTATTATTACTCCAGCTGCAAATGCAATAATATTTCGTTTAAACTTGAATTTCTTTTTATCCTTTAACGGTATGCAATGTTTTTGAAATGTTTGAATCACTAATCGTTGATATTTCTCTTCACATTTGATCTTTTGTTCCTCAAATTCCATAGATCGATTTTTCTTTGTTGGTGATATCCAAGTTGAATTAATTGTATCACATGGAGATCTTAAATGAATATCAACTTGTGCTTGTACGTATTCTGTTGCTACATGATGTTTTGATCTTCTCCAAATGATCGGATAAGTAGGTGTGTTGGACTGTGTTTGAATATGTTTAATTATGAGTCCGATGATTACAAAATAAATGATTTTTGTATATTTATTCATGTTTAACTAATTTTACATTGATATTGATATAATAATGAGAAAAACAAAAATAAAATAAAATTATTCTTTCTTAGTTTTCCTTCAGTTTTCTTTAATCAAAGATTTTCTCTCTTTATATTTTGTTTTTGTTTGTTTTTTTTTTTATAAAGAACTTTATTCATCATCACTTTCTATCGATTCATCATCAATAATTGTATAACCTCTATACCCTGTTCTTGTGTTCAATGGTTTCATGTTTTCTATATGTGATGTTACTTCATTACCTGCTACATTAAGAACATAAATAACATCTGAACATCGGTTAATTATTTCAAATGGCCCTTCATATCTTGGATCTAATTTATTTCTATTCAAATCATCAGCTATTTTCGCATAAACCCAATCACCAATTGAAAACTGCCAATTCTTTCTTCTTTTATCATAGTATAATTGATTTCTTTTATGATCCATCGATGATTTAACAAATGCATCAGATCTATAGGATTCAATATCTTCAATAGGTTCTCTTAGATAATCATTATATCTTTCTTCAGCAAACAGAAGGAAATATGGAGTATATCCTGTAACTGTATGTATCGTAGAATTATATTCTTCAAGAATTTCTTCAGCAAGACGATACCATGATATATTAGGATAATCAATTTTCTTACATCTAACCCGCTCTACAAATGTTTGAACAAATCTTTCCACAATTCCATTACTTGCAGGGTGTGTTACTGGAATATAAATAATGTCTGTTTGATTAACCTGCAAGTACTCTCGAAATCTTCTTGAACTTAGAGCTGGATATCGATCACTTACGATCTTTTGTGGAATACCATCTTTCCTTACTTCCTCATACAATTTAATGAAATCATTAGCATTTTGTGTCTTTGAATACAATCCCCAAACATATCTTGTAAATGCGTCAATTGCTACATGGAAATATTGATTCGTAGTGCCTCGATCTGTAAGGCCTCCGATTGTATCAATGTGAATGTATTCAAATGGATTCCGTGCTGGACCAATCTGAGAAAGTTTGCCCAGTTTCTTTCTTGGTACTTTTGCTTGAAGACAAGTCGAACAATTATGTACAGCTTCATGTATAATTTCATTTTGATTTGGTGTATAATAATTCTGTGAATAATGTAATGCTGTTTGTTTTTGACCAATATGACCTTGAATTTTATGAAAATATTCAACCATTATTTTTGCAAAAGATTCAGGGATATAATATCTTCTTCGACCATTGGTATAACGAACATAAAGTCCATTATACATAACACAATTTGGAGGTGAAGTAGAAACAAATCCTTGTATTTCTGAGATTTGTTCTAGTGTTAGAAGATTGATTTGAAATTTTGGATCGCGTGATAAACAATCAGCTTCGATGTTTTCTTTTCCTGCAATATATTCAATTTTATAGTTATATTGACTTAATTTTAATGCCCAATTCATTATTCTTGTATTTGGATTTCTGTGTGAATTGATAAATTTCAAAGGTTTATGATCTGTTCGGATTATAAATTCATTTCCATACAAATAATGATGCCAATGTTGTAAAGCTTCAATAATTGCTAAACACTCTTTTTCTGTTATTGAATAATTTTCTTGATAAGGATGTAACTTTTTCGAAAAATATCCAATTGTTACCATAGTGTTATCTTCATCTAGTTCAGTTTCTTTTTGTTTCAACACAGCTCCTATTCCAATATTCGATGCGTCAGTTATCAAGATGGTACATTTTGTATAATCAAAGATATGTAATACCAAACGAGAAGATAGTATTTCTATCACTTTCTTAAAAGCAGAATCCGTTTCATCTGACCATACAAACTTTTCATTTTTCTTTAATAATTTGTACAATGGAGCTAATAATTCCGTTCTATTTGGAATAAATCTTTGATAGAAATTCAATTTTCCAATGAATCTTCGTAAACTTTTTAGATTATTTGGTGCTTTCATAGTTATTATGGATTGAGTGTTACTATATAATGGCTCTATTTGGTTATGACTGATTTTATGTCCCAAATAGTTTATTTCTGTAGCAGCAAATTTGCATTTTGAGAATTTCAGAATAATATTTTCTCCTCTAAAGACTGAAAGTATTTCTTCAAGATGTTGCACATGTTCTTTCAGGTCTTTCGAGAACACAACTATATCATCAATGTAATTATGAGCAAACTTAGTCAATCCATATGCCTTTAAAATTTTATAAATTATTCGTTGAAAAATTGCTGGTGCATTCTTTAACCCAAAGGGCATTACTATCCATTCATAGTGTTCATTCATGGTAACAAATGCGGTTTTATAGCGATCTTCTATTGCCATTTGAATATGATGAAATCCTGCAGATATATCAAATGTTGTAAAAATTGTTGCATCAAGTAATTTGTTTTCAATGTCTTGAATCAGAGGCATCGGATATGATTCAGTTATTGTTACTTCATTGAGTTTTCTATAATCAACACAGAGTCTTGTTTTCTTTCCATCATCTTTTTTATCAGCCAAAACTATTGGAAAAGAATAATTTGATACTGATGGCTGAATCAATTTCTTTTGTAATAATTCTTCAATTTGTTTGTCAATTAATTGTTGATCATGTGGTGATGTACGGTATGGTTTTAAATTAATAGGTACATTATTTTTCAAATTTATGTAACAATAATCTTCTTTAATTTGTCCGATTTCTCCTATATCTGTAAATACATCAGAATACTTTTCTAATATTTTTTGTATTGAAGGTTGTTGACTGTTTATTTTCTCTTTTTGAATGACATTCATTGATGGAATTTCTTCTTCATCAATATTTTCTTCTATTTTGATTGGAATTATTTTATCTTCCAAATATTGAAACATTTTGCCATAAGGAAATCTTATAATTTTGAATTTGTCTATTAAGTCAATTCCAATTATTATTTGTTTAATTTTGGGAATTACATAAAATGTATGATCTTCTTCAATTTCCCCAATATTAACTTTGATATTAACTTTTCCAGTAATTTTTGAATATGTAACTGCTTGTTTGACTACTGATGAATATGGTTCAATTGGAATATTTAAATATTTGCATTGTTCTGAATTTAAGAAAGAATGAGAGGCTCCCGGATCATAAAGTGCAAATTCTTGATGACCATTCAATCTTACCAAAATCTTCGTTGGGCCGACCTCATTTTTCTTTATATGATTTAATTTATGAGCCGGATATTTTTCTTTATTTTCACAAATGGATGTGTTATGATTTCCTTTACAGAGTCTACATGTGAATGTTAACGGGCAATCATTTAAAATATGAAACGAAGAAAAACATCGCATACATCTTTTTTGACTATTGAGAATTTTTCGTTTTTCTTTAACTGGTTTATCACATTTAATTGGTATATGATCTTGATGACAAAAGAAACATTTTCTTATTTCATTTTGATTTCTATCTTGAAAGGTATTTTTATCCCTTGAATCTTGTTGTAAATTTTTGTTGTATGTAATTTGTGGTATAGAAGATGAAGGATTATTTTTAATGCTTAATGGTTTATTAGGTGATTCATCAGGAAATGTAACTTTAGGTTGTGTATATTGTTGACGTTGTTTGGATATTGAATACGACCATGGTTTAGTAAATCTTGTTGATTGATTTCTGTTGAATCGATTAGGATTCATATTTCGTGAAAAAGGGTTTTGAGAAGATGATTGTGGTTGTCGAAATGTTTGTCTTTGATTACTTCTTATTGACATATAATTTGTTTTAGATAATATAGTTTGTTGTTTTTCATTCTGATCAATGTACATAGACAAATTAGTGAGATACTGCTTCACTGTTAATTTTGATCCGAATTTCTGCATAAGATCTCTTACAGCATCTCTTGGAAATTTTGAAGCTATGATGTAATAAAATTCAGTTTCCAAAAATGATCTATTACTTTCACTTTGTTCAAGAACATAATATACATCCTTGATCACAGCCAAATTTTCTCTCATCTTTTCTGTTTGAAACCACATTCTGACTTCAGGCAATTCTTCAACTTTAGCCTTTAGCTTCTGTTGTAATGGATGTGTTTCTGAATAATGTTTGATTAAAATATTATATGCCAACATATAATATGGTTCATGAATACCAGCAATCAATTGCAATGATTTTGGATCTAATTTTTCTCTTAATATCAATAATTTTCCTGATTCATCACAGTCGGTACAATGAACATGGTGATTAAAAGTATTAATAAATGAATGAAAATTTAAGTAACTACCATCAAACTTAGGTACTTTATCTGCCCATTTTAAATTAAATGGTCTTGTATATCTTGGTTCTGATTCCAAATTTTGTTCATATTGAAAAGGATAGACTGGAGGAGAATGCACAATTGTTTCTTGATATTGTCCATCCTGAATTGGATTTGTAAAATCAATCGTTTCAAATAATTGAGTTTGACTGGTAGTTATTGGAGTATGTTGTGTTTGAAATTGAACTGTTGGTTTTGGAATAATTGGTGAAAGTATTGGTTTGAAAATTGATTTCAATGTACTGGGTGCTTTTGGTGTGAAAATTTTCGCTGTTGTAAATATATCACTTTGTTTTCCTTGCAAAACACCACTCGGACCCGGTTGAGATGTAATAAAAGATGGCGGAGCCGAAGCAATTGGGTCTTTGCTCTTAAATAACTGTAGATCAGTTATACTACTTGTCGTTACTATCGGTACCGATGCTGTTCTTCCTACTGTATCAAAGGATGTAGTTATTACACTACCACCTATCATATTACTTATTTCTGCTACCAACAAATGACAAGCCGTACCTGTCTCTAGATTAGGAAGATTTGATAATCCTTGCTTTGACCATTCTTCTCTCAAAGCCATGATTCCAGCAAGTTCATCTCTGAGTTTAGTTAACCTATCCTTCAAATACTCTTTATCTTTCTGAAATTCAGGATGGTTTACCTCTAATTTCAATTCTTGTAACTCAGAATGAAGTCGCTCTAAGTCTTCTTTTGTTTGTTTTATTTTTGATTTTGTAGTGGCCATTTTATGTTTTATTAATTAAATTTTCCAAATTGGAATTAAGAGAGAAAAAGAGAGAAAGAGAAAAGAAAACTTGGTACTTACCAAGATGAATATTCAAAATACAAAGAATTAATGTTTCAAATCAATTACAATTATGTTTTGTGAAATTATCGTTTTTTTTTTTCTTGATGTTGTTTCTATTCGCGAATAGTAGTTGTTATTATTATTTTTGTAATTATTTTTTTATCGTAGTGAATTCAAAATATTTCTTCATGAAGTTTATGATCTCACACTATCGTGGTGAGATTGTTCTCCTCGGAACGTTCCCAAACTCAACTTTAATACTAGGGTTCCGGAACAATTTCCCAACTGGTCGTTCCAACAATGATCGAGAGATAGATAAGATCCAATCTGCAACCAGTTTGAATCTCACTAACGCAATGGTTCTTCTTGCTTGATCAGCAATAGATGTTATGAATCTTGCTGGCTTATAAGATTTTCTGAATACTAAGTCTGGCTGCGCAATCCAAACCTAATACTCAGGAAACCTGAAGAGGAAACTATGTTAGGCAAATTCTTAAAGCGGAACTTTATAGCATTTGCTGGCGATGGAAGTTCGTTAATTTGGAGAATTTTATATGACCAATCAAATATTAAACAAATTAAAACAATTTAAAAATCAAAAGAAAAGACTTTTATTTAAACTTTTCATAATAAAATAAAATGTTGTGAATGTTGATGTGTTTTTGTGTATTGATGTGTGTGTGTGTCCGTATTATTGTGTAACGATGAGTCATTCGTCGTTCCAATTTATACCAATCGTCCAACCAGAAGAGGAGAAAAGAAAAGAAAAGAAAATTAATTTAGCAAAATAATTCCAAAACTGATTCGACGCAATAAAATCTGGCCTTGAGTGATGAAGAGAAAGAACGACTCTGGTTATTCACCTTCATCACGAGTTGTTTAGAATCTCAAGGCTAAAGCTTCTTTTTCAAAATTTTGAAACGAACCAAAAATTAATGCGTAGTGAAAATATGAAATGTTCTGAACTGGTATGGCAACGGTGATGTACATTACATATATATACGAATAACGACCAAACTATATGCATTGATGAATTTGAATTATCATCATCATTATAATCGAATGAATAATGATTCTTTAAATTTTTTATAAGCAACAGCAATCATCATCATCATCATTCGATGTTGTTGGTTATGTCGATGAAATTGACACTAGAAATGATGTATTTCAATCAATCGATCAATAATCATCAATTGAGTTTGATGATGATGTGTTGGTTATTATGGTTATAATTTGAGAAATGGTTCATAAAAAATTCATCATTCAATCATGTGAACGATTATGATGAATTGATTCACAAGTTGTTTCATTTTTTTTTCATCATCATCATCATCATCATCAACAATCATCAAGTATATCAGAATTTCTTGTTCATTCATTCTTTTCTTTTCCTTTTTTTTATGACGATAATTATTTATAATTAAAAAATCAAATTCTTTTGAATTTGAATCTTCAAAAACAAATGATAATGACCATAAATGTTCTCTGTTCAATCAATGTTGTTGATTGTTGATTTTCTATGGAATTTTTTTACAGATTCTTTTCCTGGTTAATTCACTGGGAAAAAAAATGTAACCTTCCCTTTTTTTCCGACCCATTAGTCTGATTCAATGACATAACCAAACTTTTATCGATTTCAATGGTTATTACATTAATCGATTCTATTTTATTCTGTCCATCTCTTTATTGATGATATATATGATGAAGAATGTAAATGATGAATAATTGACGATTTCTATGAACAACAACAATATAATCATCATGAGAATTTGATCATTGAATGAGCTTTCTATTGGAATTTTTTCTTTCTTTTCTTCGTTATCCAAATAAATGAGTCTCCAAGTTTTTTCTTTTATTTTGTAAATGGAATCTTTAACAGCCACATTTTTTTCTCTCTTTTTATTATTTTATTCGTACATTAAGTGATGACAAACTGGAATGATGAATCGAGAATCGATATCAGATACCATGACCATTCTCTATGTGTGTGTGTGTATTGTCTGTATCAGATTATTTCCTGACTGAATATCAAATGAATGAGATGATGATGATGATTATGAAATGGAATGGAATAGATGAAAAAAGTAGCAAAATTATTATATCGATAATCACAACGTTTTTAGCTGTTGTATTTTTTTTCATATATTTCAATAATGATTATCATCTATATTTGAGTTATAGAGAGACAACTATTCTCATTCTTCTTATTCTTGTGCTAGACAACGACGACAACAACAACAACAACAACAAAAATTCCAAAGTGCACTAATTTTGAGCTTATTAAGTATAAAGCTTAAATAAGAAAATTCTTGTCCATTTTCCATTTCCATTTCTTTTTCTTTTCATTATTAACTAGATATGATTACACAGTGGACAGTTAATGATATCCCATGAGGTATCATCTTGATTTTATTCTACGATGATGATGATGATGATAATCATCAGATGAATAGATATTTTCATTTTGAATCATCATTTCATTCATTCCTCTTCTTTTTTTTTCTTATCTCATTTTGAATACTCCAATAAGATTTTGGAATTTGATTTCATGTCAATTTAATTTTGTTGATGAATTTTTTATGTTTGTTATATGTCACATTTAGAATTCAATTCTTTATAGTGAGTGAGTGATAGAGAGAACAGAGGCCAAAGGCAAAATTTCAAACGAAAAAAAAATACAAATGTCAAATTCATTCATGTTGCACACTATTGTTCGTGTTTACCATGTGTTTGTTTTCAGAATTCGAATCGAATTTTTCCGTGCAAATTCTTTCATTCTAATAAGGATGAAATTCATTTTGTTGGCAGATAATAGTTTTGTGTACTTTCTTTTTTTTTTGTCAATAGTTTCCGGTTTTAACTATCAATTGTATTCTATTATTATTATATTCTGGATCAAATTCTTGTTGTGAATATATATTCATCAATCTGTTGTGTAAAAGAAAAAAAAACGAATCGATGATATTTTGATGATGATGATGGTGGTGGCGGTGTTGGTGATGAATTCTCTAGATTCTCTTTCATTCTTGATTGTTTACTTAGTTCTCTTTATTTTCTTTACACACTATTATTATTATTATTATTGGCCTTTCAAAGATCTATCGGTTTTTTTCGCCTGTTTCAATCCATAGGATGTATTTGTATGTTTCTCTATTTCAAATAGCAATGGTGGTAATACTATATTTGTCACAATATATATGAATCAGAACCAGTGCTGCTGCTTTATGAATTGGAATGAACGAATGAATGAAAGGAAATGAAAAGAGAAAGATTTTGTAGAGAAAAAAAAACCGATGAAATAATTTATTCATCATTTCTATCATCACACCGTATCATCATCATCATCATGGAATTTGACTCTAGGTCTCAAACACAAATTTTCCAAATAACAAATAATGTCGATGATTCTGTAATGATGATGATGATGATAGAATGATAGAATTTTTGTGAGTAAACAATTCTCTTTGGTATCAAATTTCATTCATTCATTCTTTCTATCGTTCATCACTATCATCATCATCATCATTGTTGATATTTCCATTTTCCATCATTTTTGTATGTTTGTGTACCGTGAATGATGAATCTGGAATTTGATTTGACTGAATGAATGAATAAATATTTCTTTGAGTATTTGATTCTGTGTATTGTGTAATATATCCTGTTTTTTTCATCATCATCATCATCATTTTTTTCCCATTGAAAATGATGAAATGTTGATGATGAGAAACAAAAGAGAAATGAAAAAAAATAACTCAATTGAAATGAATATGAATATGAATTTTTTTTTTAAATTGAATTTGAATTTTTTGTTGATTCATTTGTATTTGATTTTTTTTTTGTTATTTCACAACCTTAAATATGTCTAGCGGGTTTTTTTTCTGGATTTTTTTTTGTATTTCCAAACGTATCATCATATATTAATTCTTGTTTTTTTTATATATATGAAGTTGTTGATGAAAAAAAAATTTTTTGGTTTAATTTTTTTTTTAATTCACACACACCAACCTACAAACAAAGATAAACATCAAAATATGAACTTTACTAATAAAAAAAAATTCTGTGTAAAAAAAAATTCTTCAAAAGGCGTATCCATTGATGAATAGGGGCGTTACGATATATATAAAAATTAATTGTTTACTTATTGGGCGTAGTAGTATGTGTGTGTGTGTGTTTTCGCCATTCATTAATCATATGACTATTTTATTTTGTAGAATTTTATTATTATTATTTTCACATTTTGGAAAGCTGTGTACAGAATTTATCTAATCGCTACCGAATTGATATTTCACATTTCATTTTGTTTCATTTTATTATGTAACAATAATAATCGGGTTTTTTTTCTCTGTTCAAATGGCTACAATATAATGATATATATTGAATTTAATTCAATTCTTTGAAACATTATGATTCTGGTGGTTTTTGTTTCGTTTTTTGTTTTGTTTTGTTTTTCATTCAATTTCACTCAGTTTATTTACATTTGAAAATGTTGTTGATTTTGTTATCATTTTGAAATATATATTATAATAATGACCATAATTCCTTTTATTTTATATTTACCAATCATCCACAATCATATGTTTATATAGTATAGTATAGTAGAAATATTAATAATCAAAAATTCAAATCAAATTAATAGCAAACTAAAACTGAAAATTAAATGACAGGCGACCATTATTCAAGTTCAAACGCGGCCGTATGTATCACGCTCGTGTGTTTGTTCATCATATCACATAAGGTGATTCGCACACACACACACACACACACACACACACACACATGTGATAATTCATGGGCTGCAATGAACAAACAAAAAATCATTATTATTCTATTCCAAGAATCTTGTTGATTGAAAAATAATCATAATCATAATAACCGCAATACGAAAAACATTTTTTTTTTTTGTTTACAATTCTCACATGAAATGTAAGTTTATTTTGAATTTTCTTATCAGAAGAAAAAAAACGAAATGAAAAATCCATGTTAATGTCATTCTTAGGATATTAATTGGATTTTATTATTTTATTATTATGGAACTTTCTTTATTTATTCTAAATTGATATGTGATTGTTTAATTTGATCAAGTTTACTTAATGATTTTAATTTCATAGAATTTTAATTAAGTTTACGATTACTTGCAATCGATTTCTAATTGTTTTTCCCTTTTTTTTCTCATTTGTTTTGTTTCAAATTTCAGATTTCTTTGGCAAAATATTACAAGCAATAACATCTATCTCTATTTGGTGGTAGAAAATAATCATTGATTTGATTGAGAAAATTCGGAACTGCTGCAACAACAAGAACAACAAGAACAACAACAGCAACGAAAAAAAAAGATTTCTATTTGTATTTTTTTTTTTGGTATTTGTGTATGAATTATGTCTGAAGAAGATGCTTATGAAAGTTTTTGTACAACCAAAAACGACAATAACAACAACGACCATCATTTTTGCGACGTTGACAACAATAATATTATTGATATTAGAAGCAATAACAACAATAGCAACGTCTTGATTGAATTATCACCATCATCATCGTCATCATTAGAACAGAAAAACGATAACAATACAGCAGCAGCAGCAGATATACGAAAAAATTCTATCTATAATTCAAATCAAAAACGTTATCGTTACGTTACTGAAAATATTGAAAATTCCAGAATTTTAGATACAAATATAATAAATAGTGGTGAAAATAATATACAAATAGCTATTGATTCAACAAATAATAATAATATTGATCAATTATTACGTAAATCTCGTACATCAATCAATTCATCGTCATCATCAACATCAGCATCATTATCCATTCAAAACAAAATCAATCAATTGAAGATGATTATAATGATGATGCCATTGATAATGAAAACGACGATAATGATGATGATGATGACGATGGTCCAAAACGTAAACGTATTCGTAAAAATTTATTAAATACAAGTAGTAATAGTGATAATAATAATAATCATAACCAAAAAGTCAACGTTGATAACAACAACAACAACAACAACAACAACGCCCAACAAAAATCAACAACAATATTGAAACAAGATAATAATAATAATAATATTAATCTAATTAATATGGAAGTTCGTTTTCTCGTTTCTAGTCGTGTAAGTGTCCATTCATTTTTTTTTTTTTTTTTTTTTTGATAATAGATAAATAGGTAGTAGTAGTAGTAGCAAGAATTTACTTTATTCTTATTTCTTTTTGTTTTTTGTTTTCTCTTCTTATTGTTATGTCAATACACTCCCATTCATTCATTCATTCAATCAATTTGGTTTTGGAACCAAAATTGGTGGCTATTTAAAAAAATGCAATACAGGATGCAGGTGCCATTATTGGTCGTGGTGGTTCCAACATAACTCATCTTCGACAAACTGTATGTTGTTGTTGTTTTTTTTTTGTACTTTGAAAATTTTTTTAATTTTAAAAAACTTATTGAAATCTTTTTTTTTATTGGTTCATGAGAGTTTTTTAATATATATTCCTATGTGTATATGATGTGTGGGTATTTAACATTAACCTAATTGCAGGATTATTTCCGGGCCTTAATATTTTTTTGATGAATTTTTTGTTGTTGTTGTTGTTGTTGAAAAAACCAGTTAAAACTGATATAGAAATTTTTATTTTTCTCTCTCTCTTTTTTCTTTCTATTCTCTTTTTTTCTCTCCTTTCATATATACTACTTCACCGCCAAAAAAAAAACTATCGAATCCCATCAAACCAATTATTGAATCACCAATGACCATTATTGAAATTTTGACCGTAAAAAAATATAACCGTAAAATTTAAACCTTTGACCGAACCTTTGTTCAATCAATCAATTATTGGCCGATTATTCACCGAAACCAACAAAAAACCAAATCGAACGACCAAAAATACAAATATATAAATACTATAAAAAACAAATCCATCGACCTGGTTGTGTGTATGAATGTTATATTGTTGGCTTCATCATATTGGGCGTAATCGATGAAAAAAAAAATGCAATTATCCACTTGCTTTTTTTCAATTGAAAATTTTATCCAAAAAAAAAAACAATGGTTCAATCGATTGTTTTGTGTGTGTGTATTTCGGATAATGAAAAATTTCCGTTTCCTTCTCCTCTCCTTTTCCCAAATTATATCATTTCAACAAAAACGAAAACCCTATCGATTTCATCATCCCGAATCAAATCCAATAATCTATATATATATACCAATCGCTATGCAAAAATGGAAAAAAAAATAACCACCAACCAACTAACATGACCAATTAATGACTTTCTATCCAGTATGAATCATCCATAACCGTGCCCGATTGTCTTTCCCCAGAACGGTATAGTTTTTTTTTAAATTTATAATTCCCACACCACTACCTACCAAACAGATATTCTTTACATTCATCGTATAATTTCTTTTTTCCTATTTTCCCGTGTATGTGTGTGTGTATGTGTATGTTGTTGTTGTGCTTGGGCGTCTTTGTTGATGTTCCATTTCTTTTTTCTAATCTTTATTCATTTTCTAATTTTTTTTCTATTTTTCTTTTTAAATTACATGAAATTTCAAATCATTCGAAAAACAAACACATGAACCTATTTATATAAATATACACATGAATAATACAATAATTAATTAAAATAGAATATTAACGATCGTGGCCAACGTGGATAAAATAATTAAAATTGTACGAGAAATCTTGAAATTTATTGATTCAACAATATCACCATCATCGAATTCATCAATTACATCAAATTTGTTGGTTAGTAAAATCCTCTTTTGTTTATTTTTCAAATTTTTTGTATGTTTTTTTTTTCGTTTAAATGTTTAGCGTTCGAGAATTCCGGTGAACAAAACCAATCGTAAAACATCGATACCGGTTATCGGTAGTGACCAACGATCATCTTCTCGTAATGGCTCATCGTCATCATCGACAACAACAACAACAATGGCTACTAATAGCCTCTGTGAAATAAGATTATTATTACATACATCACATGCTGGTGGATTGATTGGTAAAGGTGGTGCACGTATTACACAATTACGAGAGGTATTCTATTCATCCATTGTTTTGATTTCCGCTTCTCTGATTTTCTATGTTATTTTTCATCTGTTTTTCATAAAACCATAGGAAACTAAAGCCGGAATTAAAGTATATTCAGAATGTTGTCCACAAAGCACTGAACGTGTTTGTGCTGTAACCGGACCAATTGATATTGTTACGAATGCCGTAGGAATTATCTTGAATCTTATTCGAACGTTTCCGATCAAAGGACCAAATCAGCTATATAATCCGGCACATTTTGATCCATTCATGTCATTACGTTATGGTGGATTTGGTGAAACAACTGCTGGACCGCTTACATCTGGACCACATTGCACACAACAATCTGTTCATCCACCACCACCAGTTTCACATCATGAACCAAGCCGAACAAACAGTATATTTACACCGCCACCGATTCCACCACCACCACCGACACAATATCATCATCCAGCACCACCGATTCATCATCCACATGCACATCATCATCATGCTCATCCCCATCCGCATCATCATCATCATCCATTCTCGTCTCCATCTGCTACTGGCAGTCGTCATTTGTCAACATTAACTAATGGACCACCACCATCTCAAACTCATCATCATCATTTAATGGATCATGGCCGTTCACCATCTGATTTCGGGGCGACATCACCATCATTTTTGGCAGCTGCTGCTGCTGCAGCTCATCATCATCATCATTGGCCACAAGCCGCAAATACCTGTCCAGCAGCTGGCAGTAGCGGTGTAGGTGGTGGCCGTATGGCAACTATACGTGCGGCAGCAGTTGCGGCTGCTGCTGCTGGAAATTCTGGTCCATTAACCGATGTATTCGGTACGACCAGCGATGATCCATTCCGTTGGATTACAGGTGAATTAAAAAGCTAAATTTTTCATAAATTAATTTCAATTGATTTATTCATTTAGATGCAAAACATTATGATACAAATCGTCTTCAAAATACATTAATGAAACGTGATGACGTGTCATTCATTATTAATCCGAATGGCACAGCTATTTCAACGATCAAAGTTAATCATAAGGTATTATCCCATCATTCGTTTTGAATTTTAAAATAATATTTCGATATGAAAAAATTAATTTCAGGTTGTCGGTGCAATAATTGGCCGTGGTGGTAATCGTATCAAAGAGATTCGTATTAAAACACAGGCCGATATTTCGATTGATCAAATGAAGAGTAGTGGTGGTGGTGGTGGTGGCAATACATCATCATCCGCCGGTAGTACACGTTCGATTACGGTAAAAGGACTATATAATGATGTTCAAGCAGCCGTATCGATGATTTGTAATTGGTAAATTGAAAATTAATTTAATTAACCAAGTTAATGATTGATTACGCATGAATTCACACAAATCACACAAAATTTCAAAACGATATATATGATTGAATGATGAAGACGATGAATAATGTCTCAGTTGATCTGGAAGACTAGTGATTTTGTTGTTCTCGTAAAAACGGTGATTCCGTTTTAAAACCAATGCTGGAATCATTCTATTCTTCACCACAAAAAAATGGTCTGAAAAACTAGTAAAAAAAAAAAAAAAAAAAATAGCCAATAATATTTGTGTGTGAAGATGGAAGAAGAATTCCGGTAATGAATAATTTTACAGCAAAGAGTAAACATAAAATCACTATCTTCTGATGAACTGATGAATCGAATCAACGAAAATGATAAAAGAAAAAAAATTCTATACACCATTTGTGCATGAATATTCCCTACTTCAAACACACAAATATACACAATTCACACGTCCACAATAATGATGAGGAGAGAGGTGAAACAAAAGAAAATTTGAATTTCTTGAAATTCTTGATCAATTTAATTTTGATTCAAATTTTTTATTTTTCATCAATCTAATTTGTATATATGTTGAAAATCTAATATTTTTTTCCATTTTTTTTCTTTTTTTTTCTCTTTGATTATATAGCATTGATGAGAATCAAAATATTTGATTATAATATTCAACAACATCATCATCATGTACTCATTGTTTGTTCGGAATCACTTTTTGATGCTTACACTTTCCACATATATGATGGATCTCTCTACACAATTTAAATATATTTATTATATTATGGATCTGTCTATTATTCTTTGGCCGTGTCTCTGGTAGTCAAAATTGAATATTCTTCTCCCCTTTTTTTCTGTTTTCACACACACACACACACGCACGAATACTGAGAATTACAAAATTGTTCAATGATGTATCTTCACATAACATTTTTCAAACTCTATAATATTCTTCTTTTTATTATTTGCCAGGAATTTTACAAATCAGATTTATATTTATTTATTTTTTTTCTGGTTTCTAGGGCCCAAAAAAAAAAATGCATACACATGCATCATCATCAAAAAACATTATCATTGTCATCATCATCATGGGAGAAACTTTGATGAATATATAAATATGATGATGATGATGATCAAAAGAGAAAACTACAATGATGAGTGAACTTTATTCTCTGGTAAAAGTTTTACTTTTTGCTTTTTCTTTCTTTTCTCTCTCTCTCTCTTTTTCATATTCATTGCACACTATATATACATTTACAATCAGAATGCTTTATAAATGGAGTATTATTATACGACGATGATTTTTTTTGGTCGAATTTTTTTTTTCGGTTGAATATTCTTCAGCATGTGATTATAATGATGAGTACTTTTTCGAATGGCACACACACACACACACACACAAAAAAAAAAAAACTTTTAAAACTTTAAACTGAATTAGTTGATCATGATGATGATGATGATGATGATGCAATTTGAAATCCACTTAGCAAAGTAAAATAAAACTATCAAACAAACAAACAATGAACAACAACAACAACAACAACAACAACAGTGAAAAATTTTCAAATTAAATTTTTTTGATATTTATGAGCTTTGAATGATGATGTTCATGATAATGATGATGATGATGATGATGTGGCCATTGTTTATTCATTTATTCATTCACAACCAATCATATAATGAGAGTTTCTCTTTTTTTGTTTTTTTTTTTTTTTTCCCATTCATTTATTTTGCAATTTATACCGGCAAAAATAGCCTGTCTCTCTATATTGTCATTTTTTTTTCATTTTCATTACTCAAACAAATTATCCAAATCATAAAATTTTCATTGAAACACACACACACACACACACAGAGAGAGACCGATCACAAAACATTCATCATTGGAATAATTAGTCAAACAAACAAACAAACAAAATGCAAAAACAACATTCAAACAGCAAAAATCAATTGAAAAACACACACACACACACCGAACATATGATATACACAAACATTTAATGAAAAAAAAATAATTGAAATTGAAAGAAGAAAAAAAATGAAATAAATTTCGATGCTAAATAATGAATGTGTACATATTGATTTGTTGTATTTGCACTTGATGTCATCATTGTGATTTGATTTTTCCTTGTGTTTACGCGGTTGTATTTGTATAATCATCATCAATAATCGGATTTTTATTTTTTTGATTGCTTCAGGCATTTATCTATCGAATTTTGTGTTGTTCGGGTGTGTGTGTGTGTGTGTACAACAACAATGATGATGATGATAATGGCAAATTTTTTTTGTGTGTATCGTGATTCATTTGTTCAAACAAACATGAGATGATTGTTTCTTTGAAATCGTTGGTTTTTCTGAAAAATTGCACAATACAAAAATTTACCATTAGAAAATAAATTCTTATTTGATCGACTGGTTAATTTCATCCACTGGAACATTCATTCGTTCATCACGGATTTTGGTCAAATAAAAACAAATAAATATCCCAAATTCATTCAAGATTGATTGAAGTTCATTATTCAATTGTAATTGAATTTATTATCAACAATTTGTGTTAAATAATTTTTTTTTTTGTTCTTCTTCACAGATTCTCTTCTGTTTTATATATTTTCATTCATGGGAAAATATTGAGAAAAACAAATGAGAAAACAAAAATGATGCAGACATTTATTGCAGAAAAATGAATTATAATTCAATTAATCCATCTTAATTCTGGTTTCTTTTTTGTCTGCTACAAAGGTTTTGCGTTTACTTCATCATCATCATCATTATTGATCAAAAATTTGGAGAAAATGAAAACATAGAAATTAGAACACAGAAAAAAAATGATGAAAATCCATCCAAAGCTCATCTAAATTAATAATATTTTAAGGTAACAAATGGCAAATTATAATTAACACATGACAAAGAAATTCTTCTTTGGCATTTTTTCATCACATCTGATAATTTATTTTCTTTATTTTGAAATTGCCGAATCAATAATGAAAAATTTTTCTTATCTCTTCCATTGTTTTTCCTTTGGTTTCTGGTAAACAATATGCAAATATAATGCAAATAAAACTAATTGACGAAAATATCCAATATGTACCATATTCTTTGAATAATATGAAAAATGATTGTGTTTCATTAACAATGATAAATGTCCAAATCCATGCAAATATTGATGATATTGATGATATTAACCAAACGGTTTGTGGTGGTGTTATTTCTGTGATAATAACCCATGCAATTGGACCAACACCAAATGAAAATGAACTGACAAATATTGATACACATATAATTGGTAGCCATGAATTTGTTTGTTCAATTGAACCTTCATAATCATGAGCCAATTCTGGATGTTGATAATAATAAAATCCCAATACACCAATACTAAGAGCCATTCCTAATGCTGAAAACATGAGTAAAATTCGTCTTCCAAATCGATCGATAACCAATGCACCAACAATTGTAGCCATCAACATGAAACCATTCGAAATTAATGTTGATAGTTTAGCGTTTAAATTTGAACCAGATTTGGCAAAAATATCATTCATATAAAATTGTACACCATTGATACCGGAAAATTGTTGAAAAAACAATGCAAATATTGCGATCAACATTGGTTTGTAAATATCTGAACGTTGAATCGATTGAAATGATAATTTGATACGATTTTTCTTCGCTTTTTGAATCTGATTTTTAAATTCACAAAGATCACGTAGTTCACCATGAATATCACTTTCTTTTGTACGTAAACGACGAAGATTCAGTTCTGCTAAACGTAATGCATCATTAGATATTTCAACACAATTCATACACCATGTTGGTGATTCGGGCATAAAATACATTGTTATAACCAATAATGCTGTCGGTAATAATGCCCACAATGCCAATTGATTCCAATGAAAATTCAGAATATTAATAATATCCATATAAACAATACCGAAAACGACGAAAAACTATAGTGAATAAAATAAAAAAAAAATCAATAAAAAAAATTTTCATAAATAAGAATTGAATTACATTGAAACTCATCCCAATATAACCACGATTATTTGGTGTTGCAATTTCAGCCAGATATGTTGGAACGGTTGCAATAGCGATACCGATACCTAATCCATTAATTACACGTCCTACTAGAATGACAAATGTTGACCGTGCGAATGCAATACATAACCAACCGATACCATATGGTAATCCTAATGACATTAATGTTTTTCGTCTTCCAAAACGATCAATAAACAATCCTATTTGATTGAGATTTTTAAATGAATAATGACTATTGAAAAATTATTGTTATTATTATTATTACCACATAGAAGACCACCTAACATTGCACCAATGGTTAATATAGATGATATTAAACGTTTCTCTTGATCTGTAGGTACTAATGGTGAATGCCATTGTTTTTCATCGATAAAATTTTCATTCATCTCTTCCATGGCCGGTGCATTCCATCCAAATGTACTGCCCATTATAATCGATGCCATATGAGCGCTTAATGTTGCACCATAAACAAGCCATGATGATTGATATCGTGAATGATCACGTGTTTCCAATTGATTTAATTCAATATTTGGTGGTAATATTTGATCAATATTCTGTATTTCATCATGTAAATCGATAATATTCACTATATGATTATGATGTGGTGGATAATGTTGAGATATTTCAATTTGTTGTTTATGAAGATTTGGCGACATGATTTAACCCATTCACGACCAAGCGTCACATATGTGTGCCACTCAAATTTTCCACAATAGACCAGCGGCTCATATATGAGCCACAAGCATATCCTTTTTTTGTTTGGCTATAACTTTTTCAGTTTTATTCCGAGATGTTTCATACTTTGTGCATTTGAAGAAGAATGCTTGATTAATATCTGGGCCAACTGGTCTCTGGATCAGAAAAGTGTTTTGGATAAATACAGACATATCATAAGTCAGTTGTTGACTATCATGGAATGGTCTTTAAAATGAATTTATAGAATATTAATTTGCCAAACGATAAAGTATGCGATAATCTAAATGTAAAAGATAAATTGTTCTGGTGATTTGTGTTGATCTTCGACGATTATGTCATCTTTTTCTTTTATTATAATGCCATTAATAATTACATGTAAAATAAAGTTTTTATATTCATGTCAATTGTATTTTTTTTGTTTTGTTTTTTTATTTTGATTATTATTGTCTGATTATACTCTTGATTTGCAAAATTCAAAATTTTTTCATCTTAATCAGACAGTTATTCAGGCTTTTGGATTCATTCATTCAAATTATATATATGAATTATGCGCATTCTCAAATAGAAGGATAATAAAAAAATTCGAATTTGAATGATTCGAATCTTTGGATGTTTGAATTACCTTTGTAACAAGTGTCATTTTATGAAACAACTTTCAATTCAAATATTACAATTTACATCACTAATATTGATCAAATTTAAACGTGAAAATGTATTTAAGAAGTGGTAAAAGTAAAAGAACAGCGCCAGAATCAAAAAAATCTTTCCAAATATTTGAAATTGAACAAAATATCGATGAAATATCTAGTGATGAATCAACTGGTATCAACTCTGAAAATGAATCCTGTGAATCATCTATGTCTTCAGATTTGGAAGAAAGTAATATGACAGAAAGTGATGGAGAATCTACCGAAATAGATGAATCAACAAATGAAGATGAAGATGCAAATGACGATTGGTTGGACGTTGAAAAAATACCCGAAATATTTGATTTCAATGGATGTGAAGGTGTAAAACAAAATTGGCCATCAAATATTGCACCATTCGAAGCATTTTCATTAATTTTTGATAATGTTTTGGTAGAAAAAATTGTCAAATGGACGAATCACAAAGCTAAAATTCTTCGTTCAAGTCGTACAAGCCGACAATCAACTATGCGTATGTGGAAAGACACTGACGCTCAAGAGATGAAGAAATTCTTAGGAGTGTGTATCGTCATGGGAAATGTCAAAATGCCATCTTTGAGACATTATTGGGCCACTAACTTTATATATAATCATCCGTTTTTCGGCAGATTTATCAGCCGCAATCGATTTGAAGCAATACTACGTTGTTTATCATTTTATGATAATACCGATGATACATCCAACAGATTACATAAAATCAAAAATGTTGTTGAACATATTGTGACTAACATCCAAGAAATATATTCTCCAGGCCGGAATTTATCATTGGATGAAGCATTGCTTCTTTGGCGTGGACGATTATTTTTCCGCCAATATATTCCAAACAAAGCTGCAAAGTACGGAATCAAATTGTATGAATTATCAACACCAAACGGTTTCATTTTGAACATATTAATCTACGAAGGAAAAGGAACAGTATACAATCAAAGTTCGAGTCATGCACATGGTGTGGTTCAAAAATTAATGGATCCATATTTAAATAAAGGTCATGTCGTTTATATTGATAATTTTTATACAAGTGTAAATTTGGCTGAATCACTACTGCAACAAAAGACTCATATTGTAGGCACTTTGCGGAAGAACAGAAAATTCAACCCAAAGGAAGTGATCAATAAAAAACTTGCAAAAGGTGAATCAGTCTGGAAACGCAAAGGAAATGTTGTTGTCGGCAAATGGAAGGACAAACGGGAAGTTTGTATGATTTCCACATATCATGAATTCAAAATGGTGAATTGGAAAAATAGCCGTGGCATTGAATCCATGAAACCAAACATCATTATTGATTATAATCAATTCATGGCCGGTGTTGATAGAGCAGATCAAATGATGTCTTATTATTCAACACCACGAAAAACAGTTAGATGGTACATCAAATTGTTTTTCCATTTATTTGACATGTGTATTTGGAATAGCATGATCATATTTAAAAAAGTCACTGGTAAAAAAATCTCATATCTTAATTTTAGAGATGAACTGACTAAATCTTTACTCGAATCCAATCAAAATACAAGCAATGATAACATGTTTGCTTCACATTATTTAAAAAAAATCAGTAAACGTGTACGCTGTCGCAACTGTTCAAAAAATAGAAAGCGTAAATTAACATCTTATATTTGTAATGGTTGTAGCAGTTCAAACAAAACTATCGGACTCTGTCCAACTTGTTCAATATCTTCATAACCAAATATAATCTAATTTTTTTAATAATAACATAATTTATCCCACAAAAATAAAATTCTCGTTCATTTTTCAGTTTTTTACGTGTTTTTGTAAAAAAAAGATTCCGGCTCATATGTGAGCCATCTGGTCTATTTTGTCAAAGAGCTATCCATAGACCAGTGGCTCACATATGAGCCGGGAGGAAAATAACAAGAAGTAAATCAGTTTGGATGAAAAAAAATGTAACAATGAAATAGGTGAAGCCAATAACAAAAAATTATGCAATAAAAAAAGTTGGTCTATTTTGAGACCTTTTTTCTGTCTATGGTGGTCGTGAATGGGTTAAAGGAATCGTTTTTTTTATTGATTTATGATGCATAAAATGTCCAAATTGGCAAAAAAAAAAACATTTTCAATCCTTGGATTGGATTTTTTTTGGTTTATTTCAGATATATAAAGTTTACATACTTGAAAAGACCAATTGTCATGTTTCTGATGATCCTGATAACGATTTTGATCATTATGAATGATAATGTGATAATAAAATGAGATTGTCGACATTTTTTTTTGTCTTTCGCTGTTTACATATGATTTAAATCGTCATCATCATCATCATCATCATCGTAATTAATAATTCTTCTCAATTTTATCATTATTATCATCAAAATGAACCTTTTTTTAGATTAAAGATTCTGCTAACTTTCTTGATCACTAGATGGCAGTTTCGCATTCATTTCCATATGATTTATTGTTCATTTATTCATAACTAGATGGCCGTATTGGAGTCATTAGTTTTGTTTTTTTTTGTCTGTTGCAAAAACTTCTTTTTGGATCAATTTGTTTAACAATTAAATGACCAAATAATGCTGATGTTGTTGTTGTTGTTGATGACGATGATGATGATTGTGGTGATTATATTCAATTATCATCACAAACAAACCACCGATCAATGATGTTTTGGCACTAATTTCTAGTGATGATGAAGATGATAACTTTAATCGCGATCAATAATAGCCATTAGCTTGATTTCAATTATCATTCTGATAAGAAACAAACCCCGGAAAAAAAACGAAACCATCATAATGTTATTTACGGTCTATGGAAATGGTTTCCATCATCACCATGAACATCAATGATGACAATTTTTTTTTAAATTTTATTTTCGATTCCAGAAATATGCCAGATGTGTGTGTGTGTGTGTGATGATGGTGATTTAAAAAAACAGAAAAAAATTATATCCAGATCAAAAAAAAAATTAGAAAAAAAAACTTGCACTAAAAAAATTATAGTTTGTTAGTTCCAGCCATCAAGACAAACCACAAAGAATTCTGTGTGATCGAATTCTTTTCAAACATTCGAATCTATCGATCGATCGGGGGCGCCACATGTAACCAAACAAAAAATTTGTTCGAAATTTTTTTCTTTTCACATAATCTTAATTCGTGAATGAAGAAGAAAAACGACGATCAAAGAACAAAAAAAAAAAAATGTCACCATGTTGGCCGTAATTGCTGTCAATTCCATTCCGATTCCGATTCCATTCCATTTCATTTGCCATTAGAGATTTTTTTTTCAATCTCTTACTTGCACACACACACACAAACACACTGATCTGATCCATTTGATTGTTGTTGTCGTCATCGTCGTTTTTTTGCTTTTAGTTCCAACAACAACAACAACAACAAGAAAGGGGCATGAAAAAAATAAATAATCAACCAACCAACAGAAACATCGGCATCAAATCTACAAAGAAATATACAAGTAAGTTATTATTTCTAGTTGCATATTACAATTTGTCGATACATAATCCATTTCCAAAAAAAAAGAAAAGATTTTATTGCAAACCCGGAATTAGGTGATGAAATTGTTGTTGTTGTAGTTATTCCTGGTAGTTTTTGTTGGATTCTATTTCTCATTCTATTTTTTTTACCCATCCAGATTCTCTATGTGCCACCCACCCATCCAATCGTTGATTTGATGAAACAAATTGATTGACTTATTATTACCAGAACAAGAATGAACAAAAAAATTTTGACTTCCAAATATTTACATCAACAACAACAATCGATCGATGTATTTATTTGGCAAAAATGTATTTATTCGAAAGAAAAATCTCATTGTTGATTATGAAATTTGACGAAAAGAAAAAATATTCGAACAAGTTCAAACAACGAAAAAAAGAATGGAATGAATGAATTTATCATTTCCATTCATGATTATTATTATTGGCCATCATATAATCATCATCATTATTATTATTAATAGAAGTAAAAGTTATGACAACTTGTCAAATGTGTGTGTGTGTGTGTGTGTATTTGATTTTCAGCATTCGTTCATTCACTCTACAAACAAATGAACAAATCATCACCATCATCATCAATCCATATATGGCCAATTTTTTCCATCAAAATAATCTCATCTCTTTTATTTTCCGGAAAAAAATATGAAATGAAATGAAATTTCCATTTTTCATCTTAAAAAAATGAAAAAAAAAAAATATTCAAAAAATTCATAGAATAGATTCATTCTATCGCGTGTGCGTTTGTTGTTGCTGTTTTTTTCCATTTTAGTCAATCTCTGTGAAAACAAATGAAAACAAAACAACGCGAAAAAATGAATGAAATAACCATTTTCTGTTGTTGTTGTCGTTGTTGTTGGTTTTGGAACTTAAGATTCATTTTTGGTTTTTATATAGAAAATGAAAAGTTTAATTTTCAAAATTGAACATTCAGAATCAAAAACAACAACAACATCATCATCATCATCTCATCTTTGACTGCCAGCTAGGCGTTTGTTGTTGATGACATCCAATTCATTTATTCAGTTTTTTTTTTCATTTCTTATCATTCATTCATCGTATACGACACTGAATAAGAGTGGAAGAAATTTTTTTGTTTTGTTTTTTTTTTATATTTTCATCATCATTCAAGGGTTTGATGCTTTTCCAATGTTGTTTTCAAGCTGTTGTTGTTGTTGTTGTCGTCGTCGTCGTCATTGTCTGGCAAACAACAACACAGACAAACACACACACACACACACACGCAAGAAAAAAAAACAGAAACAATTTGATAATGTGTCAAAACATTTGGATCAATTTTTTTTTTACCAGTAGATATGTGGCCTGTCTTTTTTTTTTTTTGTTTTGACTGTCTCCATCTTGTGCATTGACATTGTCGTCTTTTTGCTTTTTATGAATATTCGCAAATACAACGATGATGATGATGATGATGACAGTTTCTTTATTTTTTTTTTGTTTTGTTGGATTGATCCACATGCCCAGAGGATGTGTGTGTGTGTGTGTGTGTGGTGTGGGTGGGTGGATGATGACGACCAAAGAGAAAATGTTATTTATTTTTTTTTCTGGTACATCAATCAAACAGGAATATATTCTCTTTTTATGTTGAATGTTAGGTTTTGATCTTATGCGTTCGTGTTTCAGAGATATGACCAAAAATGAAACTTTTGAGTCAATTTTTCTCAGTTTTTGAAGTAAAAAAAAAAATTTAATGTCCACCACCACCACCACCGACACCAATGTGCGAAGTTTGTCACATCCAAACAAGCAGAGAGAGAGAGAGAGAATAACAAAAACATTTGAATCGATCCAAGAGAGAGAGAGAGAACTTTCTCATATAATGATCATTTTGTATGTATGAATAAAAAATGGAATCGATTTTTTTTTTTTTTTTTTGTTTATCATTGAATTTTGAATGAGAATAATTCTTTTTTCTTCTTTAAAAAGAAAACAAAAAAGGACGACATCATTGTAAAAGAATTATCATTAATTTTTTGAGACAAAACAAACAAACAAAAATCATAATAAACAAGAATCGAATGAATTCTGATTCTGAACCACCATCATCATCAGTTGAATCGATATTCGAACAATCTGGATAATTGGATCATTTAACAAATTCGTTTTGTTGTTGTTGTTGTTGTTGTTGTTTTCTGATTAATTGTCTAATTTGAATTTCCAGAAAATTTTCCTTTGTTTGGTGGTGATGGGGGCGGTAGTGATGTTTACACACACGATTGACTATCGCGATAAAAATATCGATATTTTTCGATTGTATTATTCGATTTCCAATATCTATGTGAATGAATTGAATAATTATCAACCATTCTAAGTGATGATTGTTGGCCACCAATTATGATGATGTTGATGATGATGATGATGATGATTGTGACAAGATTCCAGCAAAAAAAAAAAAGAAAGCCCCAAGAGATAAATAGAAATGGAAACCATTTTTCTTTGTTGGTCTCATCATCATGGATCGATAAATATATTTCTGCCATTGTTCAGTATGATTTTCAGTATGTTTGGTTCATTTTCGATCTGAATTTTTTTTTGTTTTGTTTTGTTTTTGTTTCTTAAATATTATTTCTTAGTAATCGACAAATGTGTATACGAAAATGCCCCTCTGAAATTATGTGATCTCTGGCTTGGACAACAACAACAACAACAATGACAAAAAACATTGTACATTCTTGGAACTAAAAAGAAGAATCGTATTGTTTTTTTATATATACTGTATAATAATAATAATAACCGAAAAAATATCTAAACAATTTTTTTTCCCGAATGATTTTAGCGAAACTGTTTTATATGATGATGATCCCGTATATCATAAACATACATACAACCAACCAATCATCCACCCACCACTATTGTTTACAGATTATGTTGTTTTGTTTTGTTGTTGTTGTTCAAGAAGAGAAAAAAATAGTATTCGTTCGTATTTTATCTATGTTGTTGTTTTGGGTATATAAAAAATCATCTGGATCCATTATTATTGGGCCGGGAACTAAAGAAACTAAAAAAAAAAAAAAAAAAAATAAAATCAACTACAACACACCCAGAATTGTCGATCCAGAACATAACAATAACAGAATAATAATATTATTGATCCATTCGTTGGTATTATTGGTCTGTTTTATACACACAATTATTATTTATTTTGTTTCCAACAACATCATCACAGAAAGAAAATGTTATATTAGATCTTCTCATTTCTTCATGA